ATTGCTATATTTATATAGAGGTCACTCTCTCTCAAATTGAGATTTTTTTTTTTTGGGGGAGGCGAGGTTCCGCGTTTGTTATTTTACAATTGCGCATGGAACCGAGCGCGCAGGGTCAAAGTTAACTTTTCGTTTTTTCACTTGACCGAAAAAAAAAAAGAAAAAAAAATTAATGACGATGATGATGATGATGATTATTATTATTATAATTATTATTATTACCCACCATTAAACACGACAAGGCTATTTGTCGGGATCTTAAGTATTTATCCCAGGTTTCTACCCGATTCATTAGGGACAAATACTCGAATTTCGGTGGTGCTATTTATAATATTTTCCAAAGAAGGTGGGCCGTCCCACATAGTGCGATTTCCTGGATGGTTTCTTCTTTTAGGTTCTTCATAATCCTCTTTAAATTTTCTTTTATTGAATGTGGCATGGCTCCCAATGCTCCCACGATGACCGAGATCGTTTCAGTTTATTATTATTATTATTATTATTAGTATTGCTACTAGTATCGTTAGTGTTGGAATATCGTCGCCATTTGTGTTTTTCTTGATAGAGAGAGAGGAAGAGAAAAAAATTTGTTGTTTTTATCTTTTTATTAAATTTTTTTCTTTTTTTTTTTAATACCGTCGTAAAAACGTTTACGTTAAACGTCGTAGTAGTTGTGGTAATAGTAGTAGTAATAATAATAATAATAATAATAATAATAATAATAATGTCGTCGCTTTTTCGAGTCGTTCGCCCCCTGAAAATTATCATCATTATTGTCATTATCATCATCATCATTATCATTATCATTATTATTAAATTTAAAAACGTTGTAAAATAATAAAATGAATTTTAATGATACCTTTTTGTAAACAAATATTTATTACTTTTTATAGCGCTATAAAATAGAGGGTGCGTAACAAATGCCGCGTGTGCGTTTGCGTTTTTTTTTTTTTTTAAATTTGGAATTTAAAACAAAATTATTCATTCAAAAATAAAATAAAATAAAATTTTATAACGGTAATTTTAACTTTTTTTTTTATTAATAATTTTGGGGACCCGTTATTATTATTAGTATCATTATCATTATTATCATTTTTTCATGAGACTTTTAATAATAATAATAATTTTAATTCATTTAAATTTAAATTTTTTTTTTTTAATATTTTACAACCTGAAATAATTTTTTTTTTCGCGTTGTTGTTGTTCTTGGTGTTTGTTTTTGTTGTTTTTTGTTGTTGTTTTTTAAATAGTATAATTTACATCGTTTTTAAATATCTTGTTTTTTAGAGTTTTAAAAAATTATTAATAGGTTTTTAATTATGCGT